CCCAGTGAATCACGCTTAACACACAGGGACCGTTATTGGCACAGAAGCAAGGAATGCGGCACTCGATGAACTACGCACCGGGCTGATGCACAAAAAATAAGCAGTGACACAAATACACAATCGGTAACTTACGTGTATACACTCAGGTTGACGCACATAAACAAAGACACAAACATAAACACACAATCAAATGTGAACACACTGGCTACAAACACCTAGCAAGGCCGCCTAGGCCCAGGCTGCCGCTGACGAACACGCACACCTGCCTGCCTGCTGAGATGAAACGCCAGGGGACAGTCGGCTGAGGCTGCGGTGGGCAAACGGGCACACACCAGAAGCCAAAGAAGTCCCTGTGGGCTCGCTCGCACCAAACACAGCCAAGGTTTCAAAACACAGCTGGTTGCGCCCAGGATGCTCAAGACACTCACCGAGATGCAGACGGGGAGACACAACAGCACACGCTGGCACAGACACAAGGGGAGACGTGCAAACGGGGCACAGACACACATCTACACACGGCTCCTAAGCTCCCCACATTCATCCATCGAGGGGGCACTGGCAGAAGGGTGTTGTTACTGCAAGCTGTGAGTCACACACACACACACAGAGTCACATATCAACATGCTCACCCTATGACATAGACACAGACACCACAGACATCCATGGACACAGACACGTATACACATAGACGGCCACAGACGCTGGAAACACACTGAAAAACACACTAAGCTGTCCACTGACCCAATTTAATTCTGCAAGAAAACAAGCCCACACCAGGACGTTCACACCCACAGGCGCCCACCTGGGAGCTGACACTGTCGCCTCTATATCGGAAGGCATGGGAAACGGCCGCAAAACGCACCGCCATCCCTCACTCTGCCACCTCTCCCCCCACCTACACATATGCACACACTTCACCCTCACACAGTGCGTCACAGCTGTGAACACACAAACACGAAGCACAGACGCAGGCTGACGCTGATACCTTAGTCACATACAGACACACACTGACGGCCCCTGAGGAACTTACTGAGACATCCGATAAAGACCCAAACAACAGTGGGACAGATACCCAAGCGGACAGAAACATACCTGGTGACACACACACACACACTCACACACACACAGGCACACGTGCACTGAGCCACAGGAGCTGGCCCTTGCTAAGACACCCCCTCATACAAAAACGATGCTGACAGACAGACACAGATCCAGAAGGACATGGATTCAAACCCAGAACCTCCCCCCCCCACACACTAATACACACACACAGACCTGCCCTCACAGCTGCACCGGGCACTGATACACATGGCCCCTCTCCCGCCTATGGTCCCTCCATTTTTCCTTCTTCCTGGGGTGGGGTGGGGGACCAGCCTCCTCTCCCTCCCCCTCTCCGGGGTCCTGCCAGGGCTGACTCAGGCCCCGGAGCCACCAGCCTGAGTCAGCCCTGGGGAGCTGGCGTGCTCACTGCCTCTTCCTTGCACACTCAGGGTCCCCAGAATGCTGGGAATGTGGGCACCTCCCTCCACCCTTGGAGACCCTCAGTTAGGAGTCCCCCCCCCCAGCAGACGGAGGAGCAGGCTGGGGGTGCTGGAAGCCGATACCCTCCAGGGCCCAGCCACCTCCCTCTGACTGATTGAGCCTCCCCCTTTTGTGTTCCTCTCTCCCCTCCCTCAGTGAAGGGGAACCCCCTGTGCCCATGGTCCCTCAGAACTGCCACTGACTGCTGTGTGACCCCAAGCTAGGCCCTGCCCCATGTTGGGTTACCTCCGTGGCCTGTCCCTCTCTGTGTCTCCGATTTTTTCTTTCTCTCTGTAACTGTCATTCTCTGTCTCCCACTTTCTCCCCCGCTCTTTGCTTCAGGTTCTGTCCCTTCAGTGACACAGTTGGGCAGGTTGGGGGAGGTGGAGGAGAGGAGGGGACGGTTGATTCCAGTGCCCTGCTTGGGGTCAAGGGCTGACCAAGGGCCATCGGGCCTACACGCACTTGGGCTGTGGAACAGCTCAGAGGAAACTCAGGACAAAGAATTCTATTCAGAGACAGGCTGGGGTAGACGGAGGGAGAAAGAGCAGAGAGACAGAAGGACACGGAGAAACAGGGAGCGGTGGAGAGCAGACAGGAGATGGAGAAGGCGTGCGGAGAGAAGCGGGGAGACAGCGCCAAGGGTGCAGACACAGGCTCAGAGGGCCAGAGACAGACAGGGAGGGACGGGGGCAGGCAGACGCTCACACGGGCATGCGGGGCGCACTCGCGCCCACCTCTGTCCCCTACAGTGAGCTGGCCTCAGCCCTGGACTCACCTGGAACCCCAAGGATGTGCTGCGGGGCGTGGCCCTTGGCCGGAGCCAGGGGGACAGCATCCTGGAGCCAGAGGAGGTCCACAGGCTCTGGGGGACCCTGGGCTCGGCAGCTCAGGTTGAAGGGTGTGTTGGCGGTGACAGTCCTGTCCTTGGGCTCCTCCAGGAAGTAGGGCAAGCCTGGGTTGGGGGAGGTGGTAGAAGCAGGCAGGGGTCCCTCTGAGCCCCCCAGGTGTCTGACTCATTGCCAGGGTGTCGGAGGCTGCAGGGCCTTTAACCCCTATGTTTGTCCCCTCAGGCCTCTTTCCCCAGGACATGTGATCCCAATACCTGTTTCCCCAGCCAATGTGGCGCCCGCTGTCCCTTTTCCAGAATGTTTGACCTCTCCTCCCATTTAACCAATGAGGAAGTGAGGGCCCTGAGGATGGGGCCCCCGAGGGTGAAGTCGTGCCTCTGACTCCTTATCTGACCGCAGAATGTCCTACCCCACCCATGGCTGACCCCAGGATATCCAGCACCCCCCCAAGATGCCGTCTTCCCCAAGACATATAATCCCAATAATTTATGGACCCCAGCTTCCTGATCCCCCAAGATCCCCGACATCCCTAGGACGCACATCCCTGGGAGGCATCCTGAGTCTTCCAGCACCCTCTGCCCCTGAGGTTCCTGACCTCCCATGACCTCTGCACCCAGGGCTCACCCTCCAGTCCAATATAGCCGGGCTGGGACACGAAGGTCCTTCCTCCCAGGACCACTGCACACTGGTACCATCCCACATCCGAGAGCTGCAGGGACAAGATCCTGACGGGGCAGAGAGGTTTGGGATCAGAGCCGGACCCTGGGAGGGGAGCCTCACACTGAAAGCGGGGCGCCTGGACTGGAAACACGTCAGAGCTAAGAGGTGGGCACTATGATCAATTCCCTTTACAAAAGAGGAAAGCGAAACCCAGAGCTACGTCTCATGCTCAAAGCAGAAGGGGCCCGCGAGTGGCCAAGCTGGGATTCCAACCGGGTGGTGCTCCCGCTGGTGACTTTCACCCACCATGTGATGGAGGCGGGGGGACAGGGCTCAGGAGGGACGCAGGCTTGTGGCTGGCCAGGGGCTGCCTGTCACCTGAGTCTGCTGACCACTTTCCAGTCATCCTGCTCGTCTTCGCCCAGGGGCACCTGGATCTGGGTGCTGTCCGCCAGCTCCAGGACCTGTCCGTCCCGAAGCCAGGTCACCTCTGGGGGCTCCCCATGAACCAGAAGCTCACACTGAAGGGTCCCCATGAGTTCCCGGGCCCCGGTGATGTTCCCTGGGCTCCTCACAAAGGGGTCCTCCTGAGCCTGCGAGCCTGCAGGGAGATGGGGAAAATGGGGCTCAGGAAACACCGCTTCCCTCAGTCCCACCCCTCGGGCCGGCCCATGGCGGCCAGGACCCTGCCAGGCCGTGAGGCCCGCATAGCTGGAGAGTGACCTCAGCGGGGGCTGGAGGGAGGCGGCTTTGAGGGCAGGATGGCCGCCTTCCCAGGGGACTGGGGTCCAGGCTCCAGCCTTCACCCTGGGGAGGGAGGCCCTGATCTGGCAGCCTCCCACGTCCTGGACCGCCGGCCGGGCCAGCCCCTGCCCCTGCCCCTGCCCCTGCCCTCCCTTAGGGTCCCCAGAGGCTTGAGAGGTCAGGCTGGTGGATGGTGGGGAAGAAAAGGGAGGGGGGGCATGTGGGAAGGAGAGAGACAGAGAGACAGAGAGAGACAGGGAAGGAGAGACACAGAGAAGCTGAGCATGGGGAGTCAGAGACAGAAAGAAACCCAGAGAGAGACTGAGGGTGAGAGAGACATGGGGGGGGAGACACAGGGAAAAACAGGCAGAGACATTGATAGAGACACCTAGAGAACAGGGAGAGATAGACAGAGACTGGGAGAGAGAGCGAAGGGGAGACCCACAGAGGGGGTAGCGCTGGAGCCTGAGACAGAGCCCGGGTCCAGGGATGGAGCAGACGGACGGACAACGCTGGGGCAGGGACAAGTATGTGGGGGGATGACTGTGCTGGGGGTTTTCCCCTAAGGTTTCCGAGCCCGCCCCATCCCGCTGCCTGACTGTGCTCCTTTCTGGAACATTCCTTCCCTGGCAGCCCCCTCCCAGCCTCTCCCCAGGCCCCCACTTAAGCCGGGCCCCCACCCCTGCCTCGGCCTCTCCTGGGTGTCTGTCTCTCCGCGTGTCCATCGCCCCCCGTCCCTGACCCTCCTAGTTTCTATCCCTTGCCCCTCCGTTCCTCTCTCCGAGCCCCTTTCCGCGCCCCTGGCCTCTCTGGGCTTGTCTCCCCCTCTCCCAGTCTCCCTCTCTGTTGTCCCAAGAAAATTCCCGGAGCAACTCAGGAGCACCCCCAACACCTGCCATCCATCGCCCTCCTCTCCCGCCCACCCAGCC